CAGCAGCAGCAGCAGCAGCAGCAGCAGCAGCAGCAGCAGCAGCAGCAGCAGCAGCAGCAGACCTGCAACAGTGGCAACAACGTAGATGAAGACAGCAGCAAAAAGGCCAAGAGTGATAATTGAGTGGAGAAGACTTGTGGGGGGTTTGTGCATGGGCACCCCACTTTCCTCAGTTGCTGCAGCAAACAAAAAATAAATAAATAAATAAATAAATAAATAAATAAATAAATAAATAAATAAATAAATAAATAATAAATAAATAAATAAATAAAAATAAATAAATAATGGGAAGAAGAGGAACTAATTATTAAATGGACAAGTGGGAAAAAAGCAGAAAACTAGCGAAGTAGGAAGTCCTAGTGCTAAACCCTAATTTAGGGTTTAGCGGCAGGCAAGTCCTCCTGGCGAGTTAACCCCAATTTAGGGTTTTGGAGCGAAGAAGTCCACGAAGTACGGCTAGGCTTTTGCGGTAGATAATTGCCTCAAACAGGTAAACCCTAAATTAGGGTTTACCAGCAAAGAGGCCCAATGAAAAACCCTAATTTAGGGTTTAGCAGGAAAGAAAACACTTAAGGAACTAAACTTGCGGTGTGGCAGCAAATAAAGCTCCTAAACAGCAAAACCATGATTTAGGGTTAAGCAGCAACTAAACCCTTGAAGAACTAAACCCTAATTTAGGGTTTAGCAACAAAGGAAAACTCTTTTGTACGGGCACCGGGGATCGAACCCGGGATCTTCTGCGTGTTAGGCAGACGTCATAGCCACTAGACCATGCCCGCGAAGCTTTAAATTTTAAATTAAATTTCAAAAAAGAAAAAATTAAAATTAAAATTAAAATTAAATTAAATCAAATGCAATTATATAACAATTAGGGTACCAACAAAACGAGAAAAAGAAGATCCAAAAGACTAGCTAGCTTTCTTGGGGGCCCCCGCTGCCCCCGGGGGCCCCCAGGGGCCCTTAAAGGGGCCCCCAGGGGCCCCTCGGGGGCCCCTGGGGCCCCTCGGGGGGCCCCCGGGGGGCCCCCGGGGGCCCCCGGGGGCCCCCCTGGCAGCTGCTGCTGCTGCACTTCGTGTTGCGTACTCATTTTGCTGGAGAGGAGGTGGCGCTGCATTTTGACTTTTTTGTGGCCTCGAGAGTTCAAATTTGGACTAAAAGTCTTTTTTTTGAACTTAAAATGGTATTTTATTTATTTAAATTAATTTATTTCGGAAAAAGGCGAACATTTTGACCCCCAGGGAACCCCCCAGCCCCAGCGGCGGCCGCCACCGCCAGACAAGTGACCTCTGGGAATGCTGCAGCAAAAGAGTCAAAAGCTTCTAATTTATCCAATCTTTTTGAATTATTTTATTTAATTTTAATTTATTTATTTAATTTTAATTTATTTATTTAATTTTAATTTATTTTCGCAATTTCAAACAATTTGTCTGCACAAATCCGACGTTTAGCGGATTAGCAGCAACAATCGGCGTGTACACCTCAAACTCTAAGCCCTGGACCGACAAACCCTAAACCCTAAACCCTAAACCCTAAGTCCCAAACCCTAAACCCTAAACCCTCGAACACGTGCCGTTGCAGATCAAAGAAGTGATGGCTGCGCCCAGCTGAACATTCTCGCTGGCTAGCTGTGGCTAGCTGCCCGCGGCTGTGTGCAGCTAGCTGCAGCGGGAGAGCTAGCTGCAGCCAGCTAGCCAAGAATGGCTAGCCGCGGCTAGCTAGCTGTGAGGGGCTAGTCAAGCGGCTAGCTCGTTATGGCTAGCTAGCTGCACACAGCTAGCTGCATGCAGCTAGCTGCTGCTAGCTGTGCGTGGCTAGCTAGCTAGGCCCATCTGGCCGTGGCTAGCCAGCCAAAGCCAGCAAGCCATGGCTAGCTGAGCTCAGCTAGCTGTGGCTAGCTGGCCACAGCTAGCTGTATGTGGCCAGCTAGCTACGGCTAGCCATACGTGGCTAGCTTGCTGAGCGCAGCTAGCCGTGGCTAGCTAGCTGCGGCTAACTGAATGTGGCTGGCTAGCCACATGCAGCTAGCTAGCTAGCTATCCAGCTAGCTAGCTAGCAAATGTTTGTGGCTAGCAAGCCACATGCAGCTAGCTAGCAACTGTATGTGGCTAGCTAGCCACATGCAGCTAGCTAGCTAGCTAGCTAGCTAGCTAACTAACTAGCTAGCTAGCTAGCTAGCTAGCTGCCGTTTTTGCCCAAATGAAAACAAACAGAAAAGCAAAAAACCAGATGATGTCTTTATTTCCATTTAAAAGTTAAATTAATTTAAATTAAAAAATTCATTTTATTTACTTTTGAGTTTAAATTCATTTTTGCAGGACTTTATTAAAAGCAAAAAACAGAAAAAGGGTTTTGTGTCTCCTTGCTGCAGCAGCAAACAAAAAATAAATCCATTGAGCATTTTAATTAAATGCTGCAGACAATGCATGCACTGCTGCTGCTGCTGCTGCTGCTGCTGCTGCTGCTGCTGCAAGGCTGCAGCCGCAGCAATTGGTGCTGCGTTCTTGCTGCAGCAGGAGGCCCCGCTGCTGCTGCTGCTGCTGAGGTGCAGCAGCAGCTGCTGCTGCGGAGGTGCAGCAGCAGCTGCTGCTGCTTTGGCTGTGGTGCTGCTGCTGCTAGTGCTGCTCTTGTTGCTGCTGCTGCTGCTAAGCTGCAGCAGCAACAGTTGTTGCTGCGTTTTCTGCAGCTGCATCTGCAGCTGCTGCTGCTGCAGCTGCTGCTGCCGCCGCTGCTGCTGCTGCTGCTGCTGCTGCTGCTGCTGCTGCTGCTTTAGAATCCAGATTCGACCTTCAGGGCTGTAGTGTACCCTTCTAAGTTCTCGCGCAGGACTGAAAAGAAAAAGGACAAACCCTTAACCCTAAACCCTAAACCCTAAACCCTAAACCCTAAACCCTAGGCTCTGTTCGTGTCTTTTAGTCTAAAATGTCAAGGCCTGCTATCAGCTACGCCCCACATTTTACAACGAAGCCCTAAACCCTAAACCCTAAACCCCATATACTTTAAACCCTAAACCCTAAACCCTAAACCCTAGACTCTAAGATGGTTTGGACCTAGACCAAGCCCGTGGGGGTTTAGGGTTTAGAGAGCAGCGGAAGGCTGTCTAAGCATTGCGAGGGTTTAGGGTTTAGGGGCAGCGTAGGGTTTAGGGTTTAGGGTTTAGGGTTTACACTTGAGTTCTTCTAGAGTGGTTTGCTCTAGAGGGTTTAGAAAACCCTCGTTGAAAAACCCTAGAAAAGGGTTTAGCGAAGTCCTTTCTTTTGGCGGCAAAGAGCGGCGGGAAGGATCATCAAATTCTTTCCTCAAAAAACCTAAAAAGAATAAATAAATAAATAAATAAATAAATAAATAAATAAATAAATAATAAATAAATAAATAAATAAATAAA